GTACAATAATTTAATTTTGTGGAATTTAACATTGAAATATAAATTTGGAAATGAATTTTTTTCTTGATAAATAAAAACTGTATTTATTAAAAAATGAAAAAATAATTAAATTATCAGCAATGTTCAATAAATCAAACCACGAAAACAAATTGTTAACAATGCAAGCTAACACATTTTGACGGTTTTAACTCACTAAGAAAAAGTGCAAAATAAGATTTGAAAAAAGTTATTTAATGATTTCATGTTTCTAAATGTACTACGGTTTAAAAAAAAGGAAAAAAATGCATTTTAACATTTTCCATTTGTGTTTGTTGGAATTAATAAACGATTCATTTTCTTTTTTTTGAAATTTAAAGGTGCAAAAAGATTTTTTTTCCTTTATTAATCAAATTTGTCATAATTTCTGTCAAGGAGAATTGATTTTATAATTATGTATCCATAAATACTTTGATAGCATTTGACAGTGATTTATTCCGTTTTCTGCTATCACGATCGGTGGATAATTTCGACAATTCATGTAAATGGACTTCACCATTACTGAAACCGATAGCCTAAAATCAATTTAAAGTAAAGTTATAATTCGTGCATTTTGGAATATTTGCTATCAAAATTCTAAGAAAATCATAATTTCGTAAAAATCATAATTTTTTTTAATAAACACTTTAAAATCATGGTAATACTTATAAAACAATGGCAACAAACCAAAAGATTTGTATATGAATTGCTTGAGATAGCGACATATTGCCATAATTCCGCTGTAGTTACTTCGGAGCCATCCTTCAAATTCAGGTCATCCATAGATTCTGGCTTCTTACTTTTGGCTAAATCCCATACTAGCAAAAGCCCATAGCTATGAATCGCATAGAATAAGGTAGGATTACTAAAACAACAAAGAAATTAAAATAGCGGTATTATTAGATGTAGAATAATGTTTATGAAATTTGAATTTGGTCAATGAAAAATTCGAAATTTCGATTTTTTTCAAATTTATTAAAAATACACGTTTGTTTTGTGCATTTTTCTTCTTGACTGAAGGCAACACTAACTGATTTCATCGTTGATGATAAAATGGAAAAGGAAAAACGAGCCTTGGCGCAAAAAACACTCGTAATAATGATTGCTTTGCTTGTTCGGCAGGTTCCAGTATCAAAAGTGGTTGTATATTAGAAATTTCATATAATGATATGTAGCCGTTCGAGAATCCAGCCTAAGAATACGCAGGTAATATAGATATATTATAAAATTAAAGTGATTATATCGTCTAGATTACAAAAAAACAAAAATAAAAGTAATAAAAACCACATAAGCGAGTAAATTGTTAAAAAAGGAATTTGGAAGATTTATTTAAAAATCAATAATGATAGTTTTAGTGCATTTGAAACAAAATGTAAATGAAATACCAAAAAGAAGGTTGATTCCGAGGAGAAACTAATACACATCACCTCTGCTACCATTTCTAAAAATTATATATTTTACAATGAGGAACAAATTAGAAAAAAAATTTCACATAAATTTTTGAAGAATAAAAATAACCATCATAAAATGGTTTTGATAACATAAAAAGACTTACAAACTTTGCAAAATTTTGTTGGCAAAATGAAGGTCTAATTATATCAACAAAATTGAAAATGTAAATTTAAAAGCGAAATTTGAAGTAAAATTAAAAAGGAGTAAAAATTTGTGGTACCAACCAAAATCATTCCGATATATTCTTGGACCAATCAATTTGGTTGCTTTGCTTGAAACGAAATTGATAATGATACCATGATTGGTACCAAGGAGAAATTGAGCTGGATTAGTTGGTACCATCGTCATGCAATTCACAATAGCCTTTCGTGATGAATTTATGCTACTTAAAAAAAATTAAATTAAAGAATGGAAAATTGTGAAAAATTGCTTTTTGGCTTGATGTTATTTTTGTAATCATAAATGGAAAAAAAAAGAAAATATTCCTTTAAATTATATTCTTTGTACGTTTTTTGTATATATATATACTTTTTAAAAATATTTGATATATTTCAAATGTGTTTTTTCTACGTTTTATTTTTCCATCAATTTTGCTTACAATTTTCCCGTTAATAAAACTGTTAAAATTTCAAATATTTCAAATTTAAATTGTCAAAGGACGAAATATTAGAAAGGAAAAAAACTTTTCATTATGTAAAAAAAAAATGTTTGCATAGAAGAATAACCTATAAAGGACACAATCAGGTCGTATTATTGATGTTTGCATCATTCTTAATTTCGCTCCCGGTCGTAGGCCAAGATCATGATCAGTTATTCGGATTGATTCTTCATTAATTATCACCCATATAATAATAGTACCAATTTCGTTAACACTAACGATTTGATATGTTTG